CCCAAATGGTGCTCTGCTGGTTTCATGTGCGTTGCACTGCCTGCCTTTGAAGCAAGGCTGCACCCACGAGGTTTTAGGTTCCTAAGCTTCATGCGCCAGTGACGAGTTGGTCATACACCAACTCTGCAATTCGGGGTGTTTATGGAAGCTTTCGTCTCGGATGAGTTCAATTCAGATTCATCGGCATAGCCACATGAGGCACTTTCATGAGGCCACTTGACAGGCACCTCTGAGAACCCCTTTGTGCTCGCATGCATTTGCACCATTGACGCATTTTTGCCGCAGTTGTGATTTTGTTTCACCCCTTTCCAACCTTCTCTCTCCCTTGCGAGATGGCTGGACACCAGCTCTATGACATGATGCATTCGCTCCTGCACAGCATTGCGACCGGCACCGCGTCCGGCTCACCAGGCAATTGTGGACCGAACTTGCAGCTGTCATCCCAGATGACGCAGCCCATGAACCTTGTACCGTCACCCAACTCGCAGACGGCATCCTTCACACCTTTCCCCATGATGCCCTACGGCGGCCTCTCGAACTTTGGCAACCCGATGGCCATGATGCCCTACGGTGGCCCTCCCAATTACGGCAACTTGGCACCTGGCACCATCATGCCTTTCATGACTCAGAGCAGCATGCCATCTTCACTGCCCGAGCCTCAGCCGGCGCGCGCGCCCGAAGCTGCCGCTGCGGCTCCTGCCGCTACCTCCTCAACCAACCACCCTCCCCCGGACACTCGGCACCATCCCCACTCTCGCAGATCCCGTTCCCGCCACAGACAGCACCGACACTCCCACTCCCACACCAGCCACCATCGCAGGCACAACAAGTCGCACCGACGACACGACACCCGACGATCCCGCAGCTACAGCAGGTCACGTTCCCTTTCCCGACACTTCCACCACTCCCGACGTGCACACCACTCCACTGTCTCCCTCCGCTCCCGCTCCCCCCGACACAGGTCCCACCATCGACACTCCCCTGCACCCAGAGCCACGACTTCGCACCGACCCACTCACACTACTCATGATTCCACCTCCTGGCGCACTTCCGGGAAGGATTCCAACAAGTCTCAATGGTCCTCCTCACACTGGCGGAACCAATCGTGGGGACACCCACCACAGAACAAAAACCGCTGGGACATGCACCACCATGGCGCCAGCCACACCGGCCACCGAAACAACCAGGAAAAACGATCGTCCTGGTCACTGCAGCACCATGGGCAGCAACCCCACCCCACTTCCCGCACCGGCCACCACAACACTAGCTTGCCCCCTCACCCAGCACCTGCGGCGGCCTTCACTTCCACTCCCCCTCCCCCTCCCCGACCCACGCCGGCTACTCCTCACCCTCCCCAACCCCCCTTCGACAACACCGGTGATTTGGATCCCCCTCCATCGGAGGCGGACATCAATGCCACCACCACTTCCGACAACCGGTGGCTTGATCTATGGAGAAACGTCATGGACACGGCCAAGACTGACCCGCTGCGAGTTCCCACGCCTAGGGAGTTGGGGGAGCTGGACCCGCTTCCAGCCTTGGACATCTCCAGGGTGGAACAGACTAAGGCCATTTTGATGGACCTGGACCCTGCTTTGCCACCTTCACATGCCGATCTCCTCGCGGAATGCTGGGAACTGCGAACCATGGACACGGATGATCCCATACCGTTCGATCCCAGCTTCTACCACCTCTTGGGACGGGAATCACACGGCATGGTGTTCGCAACCACTTGGTTTCCCCGACCTCATCCTTGGCCAGTTGCTGGCGGAGACCCGGAAGCTGGATCCGGCACGGCCTCCCATCACGCTGTCATGTATGTGCACGGCACCACCCCGGATCGAGTGCGCCGCATGTGCCATGAGAACATGATCCGACCCGCTGCTTGGAGGCCCGAGAACCATGACTACCCGAGCTTTGGATGCTACGCTCAGGCCACCCCCACGGCATGCACGCCCGACACGCTCGGCCAGCTCTTGCAGAACTTTACAATCGGAAAGTCTCAACTCGGCGCCATCGCTTTTGGGGAACTACGCTCCATCAATCAGCACAAAATCCTCGAATCCGGGGGAAGCCACGAGGATCAACACAACGTGCGGCGCCACTTCGCATGCCGCCGAGGCAAAAAGTGGTGCCTTCACTCCAAGTTTGCGATGCTGAGAGGCATCGCGCTGCAGCGCCCGGCTTAGCGGGGCGCAAGTGTACCATCTTCCACCCAACCAGGAAAAGAATTGGTGCACTGTTTGATCGCCTTTTTTCTTTGCTTTGCTGTTCTGCCTTTCTGCGACCGTTTTCTCGCCTTGTGACCTTACCCGCTTGATTCCGCTCACCAGCTTTTTGGTTCGAACTTTTCCTTTTCCCCCGTGTTTTTCGCATGGCTTTCCAACCCCCTCGAGGTTTGGTTCCGATGCTCCAAAGGCAAAACTTACCACCGCAGCCTTCGCCCACGGCATCCCATCATCACGGCATCATGTACGGCAACAACATGGCCGGAAACCCG